TGATGCAATTCTGCTTTTGGTTCGAGGTCACGACTATCTGGTCTCATGTGTATGATGCTGTTTGATTGCTGAAGTTCGCTATTGCTCATCTTCCTCGCAATTTGGTATCGGAGCTGTGGTACGGTGCACTAATCTGGCGCTTGTCTTCTGCCTAATGCAGTACATGCATGCGCTGTGTGGGGTGAGCGACCGTGCCGTGGGATGTGTGCAGTGAGGAGGGCGAAGGCAAGAGTAGGCGACCCAGGTGGAGAGGGGTTCGCCCGGAAGGCTATGCGGTGTAATGTGGGTTCTGGACGGTGTGATGAGAACTAACTGATGTGCGATTGGTGCTGAGGTGGAACGGTGTGTAATGCTGGTTGTGTCGAAGCAATGACTGGTCATCACAATCGGTGTCAGGTCATCTGGTGAGATAATCTCTGTGGTTGGGGGCAGCTATTTGAGGTACGTTGCTCTTAACCTTATCTACCCTCTTCGACACTTCTTACCGTGACGATGTGTGTTCCGTCTTGAGAGTCCTCTCATTGTGAGGAGTCGAGTGTGCGCAACCTTGAGAGTCGGCAATGTTCACGTGGAGCATTTGGGAGAAGATGGGCGGAGCTTTCTGAAGGGCCCTGGACGAAGCACTGGGTCACGTTCACCATGCCAACCCACCGAGAGTAGAGCACGCATGCTTTGCTGCTTGTCCTTTGTTCGGCTCGCTGCGCTGTTAGATGGGTTCTGAGGTGCAGGCCAGCCCTATGTGGGAGACGAGCAGGGGAAACCATTGGCTGTGATCATCGTCCTGTTTGGGACATTAAATAATTCCTGAGGACACTTGGGGGCGGTCCTTAAATAGCCTCTTGATCAGCCAATTGGTGTAAGGCTCGCTGCACGCGAGGATAAAACAATGTGCTAGAGCTGGCCAGCTCAACAGGACTCGGGGCACAGGGGTGGGCCGATTGCACACCTTTAGACACGCACTGCTCTCTGGATGGCTCAGGGACGCTGACGTCAAGCGACATTCAAGAGGAACTGAGGGAGGGGTAGATTTCAGGTGATAAGTTCGGGAGAAATTCCATACTGTCCCAATCCATACAAATGATTCTACTTTTATGTTTTGATTAGTTAGATGTACAACCATTAACATTTGACAGACAACATATTAGAACTGTTTCCTGTTCATTGTGCATTCTGTTCGAGAACTAGTCAAACAAAGAATAGTTTTATTTGTAGGAATTTGAACTTACCTGTTGGACCCAAATGTGTAGTCTCTGATATAGCCGCCAATTATTTATAACGGTCTGTACATGTCGCTGCGGTAGGCATCCATTGTGTGTCCTAGTGCAGACGGTGTGCAGTTCTGTAGCATATGAGCGACAGGGACACCACTAGTGAGGACGACCGGATCTTGCGATCGACTAGACGCCCGATAGCCCACTTGGCCTTAGGACCAGAGGGCGACAATTATCCTTTCCGCCAGCTTAGGGAGAGGCAGCAGCAGCAGACGAGAGCTACGGTAGCAGAGGCCAACAGGGCGTTTGCAAGCGAAGCCGCTGTTTTAGCAGCCATGGCAACTGCTGCGCAGCAGAGTTCCCAAGCTGGTAGTTCAGAGTCTGTAGTGTCAACGGTCGCACAGACTTTGAGTCAGTCCACTGGCGTCATGGCAAGCCATCTGTTAGTGATGACTCCCGAGGAGCTCGCCATATAGCGAGCTGTTGATCGCGAGGCACAGCTACAAAAGGATTTAGGAGAGATTAAGGCAAAAAAAGAAAGAATGATTAGGAGAAGAGCCAGGTTGCAGCGGCGACAAGCGAACATTAGCGAGTTAGAGGAGATGGACCCAAAGGAGTTGGATGATCAGGTGAGGACCCTGAGGTTGGTCTTGTTAGGTGTAGTAGAGATGCAAGACCAGCAGACGGCAATCTTACAGGACATCCAGCAGAGTCTGGTCGTCTTGGTTGGACGAGCGCAGGCGGCACCATCACTGTCCGGGACTGGTGTCTGGCCCGTTGTACATCCTCCTCCTTTTGTTCCACCGGTGACTGGGGTATCCCCATATACCGCTCCAGCATCGGTTCAGCCTGTCTCCCTGGGTATGCCTTTAACAGGCGGGTTCTCTGCAGGTCCTAGTGTCCAGGTTCCTGTACAGTCAGTGTATTCCCAACCACCGTTGCAGGTTGCCGTAACTGGGCAGCCTGCACAGCCGCAGGGTACACAACCCCAGCAGCAGCCAGTGCAGCAGCCTGCACCACAGGGTCCACAGCCCAGTGTGGCGCAGGTACCGGGACAGAGTCAGTGGGTTCCAAAGACGGCCATCGCCGCTCCGAAACCCGTTACAGGGGATAAGAGGGGCGAAGACCTCGACACGTGGTTGAGGGCAGTGCCGGTCTATGTGAAGTGTAAACTTACCTTGCCACACGAGGAAGTGCTTGTGGCTGCATCCTACCTAGAGGGTAGTGCAGCAAGATGGTTGAGTGGTTTAGTGTAGTTGTAGGGATACAGTCATGACTTCCGTGCTTGGGCAGCCCACCAAAAACTGGAAGACTTTCTCAAGATGGTGGAAGATAGGTGGCATGATCCTCAGGAGGCCCAAAAGGCCACTGATGCGATCCTGACGTTTCATACAAGACAGTTTAAGTCAGTACGGGAGGCCACTGACGCAGTAGAGCGTCTGATCTGTCCCTGGGGTGCGCTACGACCCCCAGATATTACTCACCTCCTACCTGAGATGCTTTCCAATGCCTCTCAGGAATCAGTTGGCAGGTGAGGCCAACATCAACATGCACAACTTCCTATCGTTCAGCAAGAATGCCCTAGACCTTGAAGCAAAGATAGGGCATGGTTAGACACCCACGACGGATGGTAAGAAGATGTCACTGCCTCCCAACTGGAAGGCGAAGGGCCACATTATGTTCGTCGACAACGATGGTTCAACCATCAAGTTGGACGACGAGTTCCAGGCGGGAGTAGGTTCAGAGGCTGGCAGCGTAGAGGCTTCAGGGGGTGGAGTAGTCGTTGCCATAGCACAGAAAGGTAAGGCGACCGGTAGACGCCGTGGAGGTTCCCGGTCAAGGAGTCAAGTTGACCCCAATGCTCCTACATGGGAGAAAGCAGGTCTCACTGAGGACGTGTGGAGAGATCGGTACACACAGCAGGCTTGTATTCGTTGTGGCCAATATGGCCATAACCAATTCAAGTGCCGAAATAAGAAGGTGCCCGAAAAGATCCCGCCTACGATGGGGCAGGCGTTGGGATCCTTCGCTCCCGTTGGTAGCAATGTGGCCAGCAGTTCTAGCACCGCTCCGGGAAACACGTCGGGCCAGTAGGAATAGTAGTTGTTCCTGCTAGGGTCGAGGTGGTTGATACACCCTCACCATCTCGAGAGATGGCCCAAGCTACTGACTCCATCGTCGTCCCGCAAGCACATTCAGACCCATCGAGCCTCTGTTCGACGAATGTGTTCGAGTCCTTAGAGGAGTTAGAGGAGGAGTGGTCTAGATTAGACCCACTAGCTTCTTGGACGACATTAGTCAAAGCCCCTAAGGGTGAGATGTTCGTCAGCGAGGTGGTCATTGGCGGCCGCAAGGCCGGGGCCTATTATGACATATGCTTGACACAGAACTTTATTAGTCGCGCGTGCGTTGAGAGGCGGCGCCTACAAGGGCAAGTGCAGCGCCTAAGTCGGCCTGTGGAGTCGACCTGTGCCAACAAACAGCGCATGGTAGTCAACGACTACCTCCACGATGTTGAGTGTTGTTTCCCGTACGCGGGAGGGGAATTGAGACATCACGTCTCATTCCTAGCGAGCGATGATCTCCCTATGGATATCTTGTTAGGTATGTACTACCTCTCCATGGCACAGCCCCAGTTTGACTGGGACCGAAAAGTGGTCAAACACACTTTGCCAGGTGGGGGGACCGCCAGATTACGTAAGTTCAAAGCGAGTAGTCTGATCGAGTCCCACGGATGCATGTGTGCGGCCGCGTTCTATAACTATTATAACTTATAAGCAAAATTCGGAGGAGGGTATGTATCTAGTCTATGTCTCTGCAGCAGGAGAGCCGGTGAAAATGCCGCCGGAGATAGAGGGAGTAGTTGCCAAGTACCCTGATCTATTTGAAGAGCCTACAGGGGTTGTTGAGAGGGAGGTCATCCACGCAATAGAGATTATCCCAGGGTCTAGCATCCCGGAGAGTAGGATCTATCGGATGTCTCCAGGCGAGCTTGATGAGCTTCGCCGACAACTCAAGGAACTCGTAGAGAAGGGTTGGATCCAACTGAGTGTTTCTCCTTATCGATCTCCAGTCCTATTCGTACCAAAGAAGGAAGGAACGCTGAGGATGCGCGTTGACTATAGGGGCCTCAATGCAATCACTGTGAAGAACCGAGAGCCCCTACCACACATCGATGACTTCCTAGATAGAGTGCAAGGGTGTCGGTACTGCAGTAAGATAGATCTGAAGTCCGGGTACTATCTGATTGCAATCCGGCCCGAGGATCAACATAAAACCGGATTTTAGACCAGGTACGGTCTGTACGAGTTTGTGGTGATGCCTTTCGGCCTTTGCAATGCTCCTGGCACCTTTCAGCATGCTATGAATCAGATATTTCATGACTACTTGGATAAGTTTGTCATCGTGTACCTCGATGACATACTTATTTTTAGTAGGACTGCCAAGGAGCACGTTGCGCACTTCGACAAAGTCCTTAGCCTTCTTCGACAACACAAGTTCAAGATTAACGGTGAGAAGTGCGAGTTTGGTTGCACCCGTGTCTTGTACTTGGGTCATGAGATTTCCGCGGAGGGATTGAAGCCCGATGACGCGAAGGTGGCCAGCATTAGTGACTGGCCGTGTCCTCAGTCTGTAACTGAGATGAGGTCCTTCTTAGGGATGACAGGCTACTACCGCAATTTTGTTCAGAATTACAGCATAGTGGCCGCCCCTTTGACGGACCTGACTCGCCTTGACACCCCATGGGAGTGGACAAACAGGTGTGAGGCTGCTTTCAGACAACTGAAGCACGCGTTGACACACCATGAGGTCTTGAGACTTCCTGATCCTAACAAACCTTTCGTAGTAACTACGGATGCTAGCCAATATGGCATAGGCGCCGTACTTGCGCAGCAGGAGGGGAAGAAGTTGAGGCCGGTCGAGTACATGTCCAAAAAGATGCCCTCTCAGAAGTTGGCTAAGTCCACNATAGGCGCCGTACTTGCGCAGCAGGAGGGGAAGAAGTTGAGGCCGGTCGAGTACATGTCCAAAAAGATGCCCTCTCAGAAGTTGGCTAAGTCCACCTATGAGAAGGAACTCTATGCGCTCTACAAGGCGCTCRCCCATTGGAGACACTATCTCCTGGGAAGGTTCTTCTACGTCAGGACTGATCACCAGACCTTGAAGTGGATGAGAACCCARCCTGTGCTCTCCGACGCTCTGAAGCGTTGGATTGAAGTCATAGCGCAGTATGACTTCGAGMCCCAGTACATCAAGGGCGAGTATAACAAGGTTGCTGATGTGCTGTCGCGTAGACCAGATTTCTCTGGTGCGCTGATCACTGAGTTTGGGCTTGCRGACGATGTTACTCACTCTATGGTGGAAGCCTATCGCGAGGACCGGTTTATGTCTGAGATCATACGCAGACTCGAGGCGAAGGACAAAGCGACTTCCGCTGAGTTTGAGTTGGTCAACGGACTGCTGTTCCTTGAGAAGGCAGGGAATANTGAGATCATACGCAGACTCGAGGCGAAGGACAAAGCGACTTCCGCTGAGTTTGAGTTGGTCAACGGACTGCTGTTCCTTGAGAAGGCAGGGAATAAACGTCTGTGTGTGCCAGATAGGGAGTCTTTGCGTAGTTTATTTTTAGGCGAGTGTCATGATGCCACGGGACATTTTGGTTTCAAGAAGACTGCAGCCAATCTGCTGCAGCGGTTCTGGTGGCCCACAATGATGAGAGATGCCAAGCTGTACGTGGAGACTTGTCAGGTCTGTCAGAGAGACAAGCCTCGTACACAGGCCCCTCTTGGGCTCCTCAAGCCCCTTCTGATTCCGGAAAGGCCTAGTGAGAGCTTATCCATGGATTTCATGGACACAGTCATCACCAGCAAGAGTGGAATGCGACACATCTTTGTCATCGTGGATCGGTTTAGTAAGTATGCTAAATTAGTTGCAATGCCGGAAACAGCCTAAGTCTATCATTAGTTGCAATGCTAGACTAGGTACATCATTAAGCTGTTCAAAGAAAACTGGGTCAGAGATTTCAGACTGCCTAAGTCTATCATTAGTGACCGGCATGTGCATTTCACTAGTGAACTGTGGAAAGCTGCAACTGTAGAACAGGGCATGCGGTTGCCAATGACATCAGGCAATCACCCAGAAGCGAATGGGCAGGCAGAGCAATTGAACCGCACTGCACAACACCTGCTGAGGCATTACATCAAGCCGAATCAGGTAGACTGGGATGAGAAGCTCGCTCTCATCGCCAGCCTGTACAACAACGCTGTCCACAGCACTACGGGAGTAAGCCCGAACAGCCTGCTACTGACTTTCAAGCCTAGACTGCCCTTGGACTTCCTACCACCTGAGAATCAGTCAGCTGCTGCACCAGGGACCTTGGAGTTTGCCTATTGATATGAACAACTGATGCAACAGGCAGTCGAACAGATGCACAAAGCACAGGCGGCGATGATAGAGTCTGAGAACAAACACCGCCGCCCATCTACATTCCAGGTAGGAGAAAGAGTCTGGGTTAAGTCCTCAGAGATGGGACAGGAGTATGGGATTTCCCGTAAACTCATGCCACAGTACTTTGGACCCTGGGAGATTCTAGATGTTGTGGGGAATGAACCGGATGGACCATCTTATGTTATTCGTATCCCTGGTCACTTACGCACTTACCCTGTTTTCCACGCCTCAAAGCTTGCAATTTTTGGATACACAGATCAGTTTCCCTCTCGTCGTTCAATGCTGCCCCCAACCATGGATGGAGAGGTCGACATCGACATTGTTGATCACAGGGAGATGCCAGTTCCAAGACCAACCGGCAGAGGACGTCTTCCGAAACCGAAGCTGCAGTATCGAGTTCGGTTCAGACATCACACTGATCCAAAGGAGGATAGGTGGTTCACAAGAGAGGAACTGATGCAGACCGCTCCACAGGTAGTCACTCACTATGAGAAGTCTCTGCAGAAGGGAAAGCGCCAGATTATCGAAGACTGAACTTCTCAGAGGACTAGCGAAGTACGGAGAAGGGAATGCGAGGCACAAGGCCTCGATCAGCCCTACTGGGCCCCTATCTGCAACAAGTGTCCGCCGCCCTAAGTGAAGGCAGGCTTGACAGAGCTCAAGAGGCCTATTTTGGACTACTACACAACTGGGGAAATTCAGGCAGTTGCGCAGTGCCAGTCGGTTGGAAGCGCCCAGGCCCAGGCTGCCTTGCATTGCATGTAACTGAGGCAGGCCCTG